GTTAAGACAAATGGGTCAAGGTGATAACCTGAAGGAATTTTTTCCTAGCAAAACTATAGGGAGTTTCTCATTATTACCTAACATAATTATGTTTAGCAACTGTATACAAAGTAAGGGGTTAGACGCTAATTTTTTCCATTTTAGGCTCCAATCTTTTTCATTTCTCTACCCCTTTTGTAGCTAACCAGACGATTGTCCGTTTGCAGCATCCTCTTGTAAACATCTATTCTGCCGTACTTGTAAAACGATCAAGTAAATGTAGCAGCGGCTATTCTGCCTAAGAATTTTCCAATATAGTTCGACGTGAATCAAAAATCTGAGCTGCTCATTTTCGCATTTCAACCTACTGTGCCTATTTGACTGTGTTTGGTCTACGCTGTGATGCTTAGAACAGTGGCGAAACTTGAAATTTTCGTAAGGGTGTTCAAACTTGAAATAAGTGAAGAAAATATTCTCGACAAAAAGTGTTCAATATATATTATATACATCTAAAATCTAATATTTTATTTGCCCCTTTAGATTCGGACTAAGGACAAGGGAGCTACCGTGTCTGACACGGGATTTGAGCGGTGTTAATATTATTGAGTCTAAATCGAAAATCCTATACCAGCATTAAGAAAGTGTATTCAAACATGACAAAAGGTCCTAATATACGTTGTTTATCCTAAAAAACGGATAACAATTACATTTGTAAGTAATTTTAAGGATGTGCGGATTAATTCGATACAAACGATAAATTGCGTTAGATTAAACAAATAAAGATATAGTAAATTCAAACCACGTGAGGAGAATATTTTCAGCCTTGATAAAAATTTCACCCTCGATCCGGATTCAGAATGGCTAGCACTGGTGAACGAGAATAAGAGCTATGAATAACAGTAAAAATAATAGTATATTACTTTGGGATGCGTGTTACAATGTGTTTCATGAGTAATCAGACTCCCCTTTATATAGTAGGGGAGTTTTACCCTAAGTACAATTCTATAAAAGGTAAAAATCTCCCGTTTAACTGATTACTGGATTCCCGTCAGTACGTGCCGAGATCTGCACTGTGATACCCGGTTGGTCGCGGATATTACGGTCTTTCGTTAATCATATTCGATTGCCCAACAATGCTCTCCGAAGTCTCTTGGGATTTGGACCGATTCCGGGGTCGTGGCCTCGACATATTTGAGGGCGGGCGTCGTGCTCCCGATGCTTGACCCGATGAGTCCTTTACCTCAATTCTAGTTCCTTGTCATCGCGTCCCTTACCCGATTTATTTTATCAGGAACCGGGCCAGCTTATGGGTCCGGTTTCACCCACATACATATATCACTGTAAAAAAAATTTATATCATATCCAAGTCGTAAGATAACGAGTAACCCATAACCTTTATACATCATTTCGTAAACTCTTATACAACCTATAGGAAATCGTATATCTCTAAAATTATTTCCTATCTTAAAATATGCGTATGTCAGAAACTCAAAATTGAATGTTCAAAAATATACTTTTCGATAGATCGATCCATTCAATTTTAGAGTTTAGATCAGGTATGTTCAAAATCGAACCGAAATCGTTAACCGAATCGAACCGATGATTTATTGGCTTATTGGTATCGGATTATCGGGGTAATAGATTGTAAACAGATTGAGATTTTATAATTAACGGCTTAACGGTTTGGCGGCGAATTTCTCAATTTTTTCTTATCGGGTAAACCGTTAACCCCTTAAGAATTTTTATAGTTATACTTTTACCCTTATCAGTAATTCTTGTATATACTAGATTGGAAGACAATTCTTCAAAAATACTGTTAGATTAATAAGACAATCTTTTGAATTTAAATCTAACATTAGTCTGAAAGCACCGACATGCCATCTTACTATGCTTAGAATTTAGACACTGGATGATATTATTTCCAGCATACTACCCGTTGAATTTGAACATTCTTTAAACCAAAACAGTCACAAATGCGTGCAAAATTGTAACATAGAATGATAGAACTGTCTGATGTCTGTAGCTAATGCCTAGTGACAGTCGTCTCTAGCTTTTCATGAATTATGAGTGGACATGAATTGAATTCCTCTCTGGGCCGTAGTATTACCTTTGTAGATAACAATGCTAATAGTATTGATTGTTCAAAAACTAACATAGACAGTTTGAACTATGTATTTGGCTGTTTAAATTATAACACGAAAATAATTATCTTATTATCGTTACATATGCACCATAAAATCACCATTAGAAAATTTTTAAATTACAATATAGGAAGAAGAAACATCTTTTAAAATTTAATATAATCACATCAAAATGTGTGCTAATATGCAGTACCTTTTAAAATTACTGTCAAACTAAAAGTGACAAGTCCCGTGTAACATTTTAATTCAAAGTGTTGGGTGAATTAAAATGCATGCCTATGTTAAAGGATTTGTTGATTGTTCAAAAAAAAATTATTTAGTTTAGTCGATAAATCGCCCGATAATCATTAATCCGATATCAATCCGTTCATTGTCTTATTGGATGGCTACCGGATTACTGTATTTATAATCCGATAACCGATAAGCCGAACTGTTAAACATAATTATTCGCCCGATAAGCCCCCTAGTTTAGACAATGTTAAACCCTCTACATTATACTCCATGGCTTTAACTGAGGCTGGTCTCATTAATGGAGCTTAAACACCTAAGAGAGTTGATTATTCCAAAGATTGTGCATTAACTGTAAACCAAAGATTGTGCATTAATTAGTATCTTGAGAAATTGTGAAATGAATGTATCCAATAGAACTGCTTATCCTTTACGTATTCCGCAAGAAAGAGCTATGCAAAGTGAAGACATTTCGGATCCATTCATGAATCTTTCTTGGATTAGTTATTTAATTAATTACTTGGAAAATTGTAAACCAACCTGGCTTTATTACTAGTGTTTTGAGTCCTGTGCAACTTGAGTAGTACGGCGAGTTCATATCTTAGGGGTAATTAATTACACTTCCGGTTATAAGAGAAAAGTTCAAATAACTTTCTTAATTGCTTTACCTCGTATTTACTTCCTCCGGCATGAGATGTCATAGGTTCATAGCCCCAACTTTTTTGGAAATCTCAAGTCCTGGCCACCTGTTATCTTACTATAGGATATCTTAAAAAATTTACAATGGATAATTTATTGCGACAATAAGTTAACCTAAATAAACATGAACTTGCGAAAGATGTAGTATTTTAATAATACTCACTCCAGTCCATATTATATGTATTTTAAGACTGGTGTACACTATTTAAGAAAGTCATTTAACATAGCTTTAATTATATGAGAATTCTAAGTTATCAAATTTTCTCTTTTTAAACATTTCAATAAATTACCACTCTACTAATTGAACCAGTAAGGATGGATTTTAAGGAAAAGAATAATAAATGATTTTTTTTTTTATAAACATCAAATATTACGAAACAAAATTAGTATTTTGGAATCATAAGTAATACTTACTTTATAAAATATCTTAAAACATCTTGAAACGGAAATAAAGTCATGAAAATGAATTCGGGGGATTAGTTCAGTGATTTGAAAAGAATAGCTTCAGAGATGCAGAATATTTGAGTTGACGGTAACTGCAGAATAGTATCGTGGGGCGGGATCGGAGGCCGGGGGATCCGGGGGTAAAAACGAAGTTGATAATACCTTCAATAACCTTAGAAGAAGTCGCTAATTAAGTAAAGTATAAACTCTGGTTGAGAATCTTGAGATCACTATCGGAATTTGAGAAAATAAATGGAGTACCAGGTAATGTGCTAAAGTACCAATTGATACTCTCTGTCGGTTGACTCGTATAATTAGCGCTAACAAATCTTACTACTCCCCCGTTCGTTCTTGGTTGTCCACTTTTCACTTTGTATTCCTTCCATATATTTTTCAATTTTACCTATAATAATGATAGCATTTTTAAAAGTTTTGAAAAATAATTTAGAAATAAATAGTTAATGATGAGGATAAAACAAGAAAAAAAAAATATTTTTTTCTTGATTTAGTATAATGGATAAATAAAAATAAAAATATATTTTTAGTCTAATTGACAAGTAAAAGTGAACGGAGGGAGTATTATATCAACTAATAAGGTCAAACTCATAGACCGCACCCTATGCTTGTTGGATATATACTTACCTTTTAATACCTAAACTCGAACCAGTACCTATTAGACATTCAAATCTTAATGAACTCGCAATTGGACTAGCCGTCTAGGAGTAGAAATTATTATTATTGTCGTGGTATGGTATCTGGCATGGATTGAAGAAAAAATTGATTAATATACTTGAAATGTACCAATTAGTTATTAGAGAGAACAAGACATATAGTCAAATGAATTTGCATTTTCAGAAGTTATGAATGTTATTGTTTACCCTAAAAAATGGATAACAATTGAATTTATATGCGGTTTTAAAGATATGTGGGTTAATTCAATACGAATGATTAATAGCGTTAGATTAAACAAATAAAAAACGTAATAGATGACCAAATCAATGATAAGGGTGATTCCGAGCTCGGTTGATGGCTCGATGAAGAACCTGTCCTCGATTCCAAGCTAATACTTATGAAGAACTTAAGAACAAGAAATAAGAACTTTGAACAACAAAGAGAATTGGAATAAATTACCTTGATATGCGTGTTACAATGTGCCTAATGAATAGTTTGTTTCCTCTTTATGTAGTAGATGAGTTTCACCCTAAGTACAATTCTAAAAAAGAATAAAAATCTTTCTTTATGTTAATCACTGATTCACTGATGATACGGGCCGAGATTTACGACGTAACGTCCGGTTACGCCGTGAGATCTCTGTAAACTGTTTTGATCCCTCCCAGTGTGGGGAACTTCAATGCCTGGTGTAGAGTCAAGGGTATTGCCCTCATGTTGTGAATCCATGACCTTCTGAATATAGCGTTGTATCTCATATCCCCCTCGATGACGTAGAACTTCGTCTTTTGAATGGTTCTGGAAGTGTTCAACGACAGGGTTATCTCCCCTTTAGCAGTTTCACATGCCATCTTGAATCCGTTTAAGACCCGGACAGCGGGCACTATTTGGCCTTGTAAACCCAGGTGCTCTATGACCTCGATCTGATGATATTGGCCGAGTTACCTGAATCAATCAACACACGCTTAACTTGAGATTTATTTACGAGTACAGAAATTACCAGGGCATCGTTATGAGGTTGCATGATGCCTTCAGTGTCTTCATCATTGAAAAAGATGGTCCCTTCCGGCATGTAATCTCTGGTTCGATTTTCCCTTGTAAAGGACACCTTAGTGCACTTTAGTATTGGCCCATGTGGGATGTCGACTCCACCTATGATCATGTTGATGATGTGCTGAGGTTCCTCTTGCTCAGTCTCCTTGTTGGAGTCCCTATTCCTGAAGTGAGTTTTTGGTCGATCACTTATAAACTCTCGGAGGTGTCCGTTATTGAATAACCAGGCTACTTCTTCTCTTAGTTGTCGGCAGTCTTTGGTCCTGTGGCCGTGGGTGCCATGATACTTACACATCAGGTTGGGGTATCTTTGGGCAGGATCGGACTGCAATGGCTGAGGCCACTTGCTATCTTTTGATGTGTCCGATGACTGATACGATGCCGGCAACATTGACGCTGAAGTTATGCTCTGATAACCTTGGTGCCTCTCTGGCCCCGATTGGCCTGTCACAATCGTTTTTACTCATAAGTCCTCGGTTATTATGACCTCGGTCGCTTCTTTTTTCATTCCTTGCTGGGTTGCATCTGGATTCACTGCCCCTTCGATCTCCGTTATACGGTTGGTGCCAATCTCTGCTCTGTCTTGGTTCACGATCGACGTCTCATTTAGACCTGTCATTAGTTCTGACGGGATACACGGACCTAGAGGGGGCCTGAGCTGATCATCCTCCACTCTGATTTTCAATTGGTACATGTTACGGATGTTAGCCCAAGTTAGCGCCACGTACTCTATCAAATTCCGTTTCAGTTGCTGTGAAGCCAAAGAGCTTTGGGAGTTGAGTCCTTGAGTCAATGCTTGAATAGCCCAATCGTGCGCAACCCGGGGCAAATCCATCATTTCAATTTGAAACATCGACATGAACTCCCTAATCATTTCGTTATCTCCTTGGTTGACTTTAAAGAGGTCTGATTTTCTGGTCTCAACTTTGATGGCCCCGGCATGAGCTTTTACGAAGGTATCCGCAAGCATGGCAAACGAATCAATGGAATTAGGGGGCAGGTTGTGATACCATATCATTGCTCCTTTAGACAGGGTTTCCCCGAACATTTTTAGGAGAACCGACTCGATTTCGTCATCTTCCAAGTTATTTCCCTTGATTGCACACGTGTAGGAGGTCACGTGTTCATTCAGATCCGTTGTCCCGTTATACGTTGGAATTTCGAGCATACGGAACTTCTTTGGCATCGGTTTCAGAGCTGCACTCAGAGGGAAAGGTTTTTGGATGAACTTCTTAGAATCCAAGCCTTTCAATATCGTGGGTGCTCCTTGGATTTGATCAACCCTGGAGTTATAGGTCTCCACGTTGTTGTCGTTGGCTTCGATTTTCTTTTCTCCTGATTACACCTGTTTTGTCAGTTCCTCAAGCATCTTTATTATCTCAGGATTGGTCTCGGGTTTAACTTCGCCGGCCTTTCTGTGGTCGGTTCATTTCTGCGAGTATTTTTCGGGGATGGTTCGGGCTCAACTCTGCAGGGAGCGCGGCTTTGGTTCTGCAACTGGGCTATCGTTGCCTGTTGAGCCTGTGTAACATTTCGTAGATGCAACTCCATTGGGGTAAATATGGGGCACATCGTTGCTGGGCACTACATGGTTGTTCTCACCATGGTGGCCAGACTCAACATCAACGCTCAAATGGGCACATTAAGAGTTCGACATTTTTACTTGACCTGAAATTAAAATCTCAAAGAACAAGTGTAAAATAGAGTGCGTTATGAAAATTTGTATTAAATTATCACTATTATCCGTAGCCCCACGGTGGGTGCCAAACTGTCTACCTTAAAAAACGGATAACAATTAATTTATATGTGTTTTTAAGGATATGTGGATTAATTCAATACGAATGATTAATAGCGTTAGATTAAACAAATAAAAAACGTAATAGATGACCAAACAAATTATAAGGGTGATTTCGAGCTCGGTTGATAGTTAGATGAAGCACATGCCCTCGATTCCAAGCTTATACTTGCGAAAAACTTAAGAACAAGAGATAAGAACGTTGAACAACAAAGAGAATTGGAATAAATTGCCTTGATATGTGTATTACAATGTGCCTAATGAATAGTTAGTTTCCTCTTTATATAGTAGGGGAGTTTCACCCTAAGTACAATTCTAAAAAAGGATAAAAATCTTTCTTTATGCTAATCACTGATTCACTGCTGATACGTGCCAAGATTTACGCCGTGACATCCGGCTGGGCATGGATGTCACGGCTCTTTGTTAGTCGTGTTCGGCCGTTTGGTAGTGCTCTCCGAAGTTGAGGGATTCAAACCGGACCCGGGAGACGTGGCCCCGATGCTTCCGAGGGCAGATGCTTTGCTCGATCCCCGATGCGAAAGGTTTTTCGCCCAGATTCCGATTCCTTATGATCACGTTCCAGTCCCGTTTGTCTTACCGGGAAATCGAGATGTTCAACGGGTCCGATTTTACCCGTATACAGATATAAAGAAAACTGTTGTTAGAATAATGATGTCTATAGAATACAACATAGAAAAGAGTATCAAGTAAATGAATGCGGAGGGTGTATATTTTTACCGCATGGCATGTAAGAGTTGAAATAAAAAGAGGGAAAAGATTTATCGGATTCTCTTTTTTATGCTCTTGAGTTGATGTAATCACGGATGTGATTAATTTTTATTGCAAAATTAAGGTTTGATATTCTAATGTTGACAAGTGTATTATTTGGGCGTACAATCCGTAGAGTTACTTTACTTGTCATGTGCTATAAAAGCTGGATTTGTTGCTCACTTTTCCTAACAATGGATCTTAGGAGGTCAGGAAACTACAAACCTAGCATTTGGGAAGATGGATATGTCCAATCACGAGCTACATTTTACGCTGTAAGTCCGAATTAAGAAAAAAAAATATAGTTAGCTGCTAATCTTCTGTCTTTGTATATTTTCTAACTAATTTAACATATATACACAAACAGTATTTCCTTAACAAGCTATTTACTGCGCTTCTCTTATATTACTAAATAGGATAATATATATACTGACACTGACCTATTGTATAAAAAATTGTACACTGTCAATACATCGAAGCTAAACCCTTGTGAGAAAACTAAGTGTATATTATCAACTGATGGAACAACTTCTTTATCAAGCAGGAAGAGAAACATTATGAACGAGCTGCCGGACTAAAAGAAGAGGTGAGGAGAATGCTAGAGAAAACGATCCACCCATTGGAACTACTTGAGCTCGTTGACATTTTGCAAAGACTTGGTTTGTCCTATCACTTTGAGGAAGAAATTGATAGAGTTTTGAAGCAAATGTACGTTAATTTTTGTACTACAAATAGAAATGATGGGCAGAAGAGCGAAGATTTGTATGCTACAGCTCTAGAATTTCGACTCCTTAGACAAGAGGGCTATCACGTCCCTCAAGGTACTTCAAAATTTTCTCTACGTTTACTTTTACCGATTTCATCTAATAATTTATAATGCTGTTTACTTAGTCCCCCGAATCCATCTCAGGAGAACTTAACCAAAAAAGATAAATTAATTTTTTTTTCTTTTAAAGAAAGAACAACATAATTGTAGCGAGCATAAAGTTTTTGCACATATCTTCTTGCATGCACTACAAGAAAAATGAGATGGTCTTACGTGTCGGACAATATCTAAAGAGTCTTTTGAGAGTCGGCAGTAAAAGTCCGTTTCCCGTAGTTAATTGACACTATATCACTTAAAAATTACACTTTGTCGATAAGTAAAAAAAATTGTATAATTACTATATATATTGAATTTTCTTGACCTTTTCGTTTATTGACCTCTTTATATTTTAATTTTCCTTAGTGGAAATCTCAGCTCTGCCATTAATAGCAAGTAATTTAAGATAGCATGTTTTTATGTTTGTTCTTATGTAGATTCCTTTCTTCTTTTCCAGAGATGTTTTACGCTTTCATGGATAAGGAAGGGAAGTTCAAAACAAGCCTTGTTGTGGATACTAACGGACTGCTGAGTTTGTATGAAGCTTGCTATCTTTGTATGGAAGGTGAAAGCATTTTGGAAATAGCTCGAGATTTCACCACTCATTTTCTCACGGAAAGCCTTAACAAGAAGACAGATAAGAATCTTGCTGAGCAAGTAAGCCATGCTTTAGAAATGCCTTTACATTGGAGGATGCAGAGGCTAGAAGCAAGATGGTTTATAGAAGAAGTTTATCACAAAAGAGAGAACATGAATCCTCTTATACTTGAACTTGCAAAGTTGGACTACAACATGGTACAAGCTACATACTTGGAGGAACTAAAACAAATGTCAAGGTGAGATGGCGTTGCGTACGTTAAAGATTGCGTACGTTAAAGAGGCAGATACAGAATTTAGACATTATAGGTTATAAGTTGAGAGAGTGAGTATTGATATGGATATCCAACTATATATGCTTCTCTATCGAACCTGCAAACTCATGGCTAGATCCATCACTGTGGACATGACTTTGGAAGTGGCACACTGTTGAATACACACAAAATACGATTTAATTTTGGTATACTAAAATATTTTCAATCCTGAAAACTTTACTTGAAGATATGTTTTAATCTGATTATAATGCAGGTGGGATAAGAACATTAAACTTGTTAAAAAGATGAGCTTTGTTAGGGACAGATTGGTGGAGGGCTTTTTATGGGCTGTTGGTTTCACTCCTAATCCTCAGTTTGGATACTGCCGAAAGTTTTCAACAAAGCTTTCTGTATTCCTCACAACAATTGATGACATCTATGATGTTTATGGCACCATGGATGAACTTGAGCTTTTCACTGATATTGTTGACAGGTTAGTCCACATACTTTAGGCCTTTTTCCTCTTATCCCAATTCTTATAACCGTCCATAATAAGTAAGATAAATAGCCTAGAAAATTAAACAAGTTACCTCCTACTACAACCTAAAATACATTGATAGTGTGAAAATTCATTACACTGTCAGCGTATATAAGTTAGATCCTTTTTTCCCCTTTATTTGGATGGTCAAGGGGGTAGACTGGACTGGAATAGAATATCGAATTTATTTATGATGAGGGGCATATNTTTATTTTTGATGAGGGGCATAAACTTATTGTGGTTACATGTTCTGAAGATGGGACATCAATGCAATAGAGCGACTACCTGACTACATGAAAATCTGCTTCCTAGCTCTCTTCAACTCCATGAATGAACTGGCTTATGATATTCTCAAAGAACAAGGCTTCAGCATAATTTCACATATAAGGAAGCAGGTAGCAATTTTTTCTTCCCAGTAATTTATCTTGAATTTCTCATCTCCTCCTCTTCATTCTTACTGACTTATACATTTGACATTTTTTCGTACCAAATATTTCAGTGGGCTAACCTATGTAAAGCCTACTTACTGGAAGTGAAGTGGTACCAGAGTAGATACACACCAAGCTTGAATGAGTTC